CCTGCCAGGGACCCGCCGGCAGGAGCCCTGCCAGAGCCCGGGGCTCTTGTCATATTTGGCCAGTAGTATAGGACTTTGTTTTCAAGACTCGCTCTAATATAAAAACCAAACTTTCCTTTCCAGATGATGAATCCATTGTCTTCCAAAAACTCCCTAGAGTTAAACTGACTAAGGCTTTTTCCTGTCACTAACTGAGTGATTAGTTCTACCTCTTATCAATGCTAGATCTGACTGTCAGATACATAGCACCTTTCAAATCATAAACACGCTATATTTTGTCAAAGATGATCTACAATTATATACGGTAAAAGAACTTTTCTATGGAGTAACAATAATCATAGACACAAGATTGATGGTTCTAGTTAGTGGTATTTTGCTTTCAGTATTTTTTAATTTACTTTGTTTTCATTTTAGCCTAGAAAAGATCTAATTTATAGAATTCCTGTTATGAGTCAGACACATTACAAGCTGATATTTACATAATGATCATTTACACAAGGCATTACTATCTTCATGTTATAGATGGGCAAACTGAGGCTGAGAAATGCTGATGAACTTGCCCAAGGTAATTAGAAAGTGGCAGAAGATGTACACAATTTCTGGTCTATTTGATTCTGAAATGAGTTTACTTTCTACTCCTCCAATCTCCTTCATATCATAGATCTTATTATTTTCTAAGAAAAAAATACTCCAGAAGGAAGCATTTCTTGTGACCCAGCAAGATGAATACGGAATAAAATTTAGTACTCAGTTGTTGTCCTCTTTTATCTCCTTAGGAGCCTTTATTGAAAATGAAGTCCTATGAGACCAGGACCCTCGCTTCCATGCACATCGTGCACAGTGGAGTCACAATAATTATCTTTTCTGCCAGTCTATAGGAAGTTTGAGCATTGCATGCCAGCAGGCACTCTTTTTAAATGAGGCATTAGATGATTCGTGATGTCTATGGAACATTCTTCAGTATTTCAGCTAGACTGTATACATTTCGCAGAGTTCCTCTGCATGCCTTAGTGTGTGGTCCTTTTTAAAAAGAAAATATTAATTATGTAAAATACCATCAAAATCTCTGTAAATTGCAAAGGTGACATTTTGCTGTGGTTCAAATAATACCATACCAGATAGCTGTAACTCAATATTTATGAACGAGTACATTCATAGTGACAGATTTATGACCAACAGGTGATGCTAAAACTCCCTCTCTCACCAGGTTCCACTTCACACCAGGTAAAAGTGCAAAAGGAGGAGGGCTGGTATGGGTCAGGGTCAAGTATCACAGTGCTTACGGGTGGAGATTCAGTAAGAAAAGCAGTGCTTAAGAGCCCTTGTGTCTATTGGAATACCCCTTGACTTATTTGGGTTTCTTCCTTGGGGATCATGATCTCGGCTCCATTTAGGGAGGGTTTCCTACCATGCATCTTTCAGTAATATAGGTTTGAAACAACTTCATACTGGTAGACCTGTACCTTGTACTTGTGGCCTTTTCCCTCTTGAAGGGCATAAACTCAAGGGCTAAGACAGAAGATGAGATTTGGATGACTCACCCTAAGAACCCAGAGTCTACTCGAGATCTGAAGTTCTCAACCATGATCCAATGGATATTTTATAAGATGTTAATGGGAATTATAGGGTTAAAAGGTGTCTGAAAAGAAAGAGCATATAATATGCCAGTTGTGAGTATATCCAATATACAACAGCATCTTAATGTGTTTGGAAAGTTTCAAGGACAACTTCTTACCTTTGTTTCACACAGTTTCCCAAATGTGCTTGAGCACTGCACATTATTATTCATATTTTTATTGATCAGTAGTGCTGCTTGAGACACCAAATTTGGAAAACCCTTATCTGAATGCTAGACTAGAGGGGCAATAGGAAATCTCAATACACGTAACAGGATCAGGAGTCTCACATAGGAATCTGGGTCCAAAGTCCTGCGGCAACACACACACACACACACACACACACACACACACACACACACACAAACACACACACACAAACACACGGAGAGGGAAGAGGAAGAGGGAGAGGGAGATTGTATGCTTTGTTTTTCTGTCAGAAACCTAAGGTTGTGGCAGACAACCAGAGGAGGATCCACAGTGCTGATTGCAGCCACAGATTTTTCACGATTAATTGCAATTCTTTCCATCTGTATTAGTGAATTGGGCATCCAGGGTTCTACTGGCTGCCTAAGTGCCAGAAGAATATAGCAAAAGTGACATATTTATCTTTTAGCCTCTGATTCTGTTTTGTAGATAAATCAATTCTAACTGGATTGCATATCTTTTATGCTTTCAATTCTGTTCATTTGCTATCTTTTATTACATTCAGTCACTTCCTGACAAACATTAATTTGTTTTGTATACCTTTCTTGTCTTCTGCAATATAAGTTTGGGAAACAATTTTTGAAGGGGTAGAGACTGGAGTAATTTCTCCTGGAATATTCACCCATCTCAAGCATATAGCAATTGGCCAATTGCTTCTTCACGATGTTCACTATTCATCCTGGGTATAACTGTCTGACCCTTCCTGACAATCGATGGATAACTTCCTTAGACTGACAGTGTTCTATCATGGATAAGAGCTAACAAATGATTAAAAACCACACACTGATATTAGATGCTGGGGTAGACCCTTAACAAAATACTTTATTTTAAAAGTAGGATGGCTATTAATGAAGCAACATGGATTTAATTATAGATCATCTTTGTAGACATGTAGCTATGGTTATTTAAACGTGCAAATTAGTTTTCTTTGTTTTATGGAAAGTAAATAATGTGTCAAGGTTTTCATGTGAGTATAGGTTTAATTGTCTTATATATATTGAAATACATAGCAAAGTGCATTTTCTTGCATAAAGAAAGGCACTGTGAAGGAATATTGATGGCCCTAAAGTGAAATACCTTCAA